TGATGATGGTGATGATGATGATGGTGATGATGATGATGATGGTGATGATGGTGATGATGATGATGGTGATGATGATGATGATGATGATGATGATGATGATGATGATGATGGTGATGATGATGATGGTGATGGTGATGATGATGATGATGATGATGATGGTGATGATGGTGATGATGATGGTGATGATGGTGATGATGATGATGGTGATGATGGTGATGATGATGATGGTGATGATGGTGATGATGATGATGATGATGATGATGATGGTGATGATGATGATGGTGATGATGGTGATGATGATGATGGTGATGATGGTGATGATGGTGATGATGGTGATGATGGAAATTAGACAGTAGAGAGAGACACTTGTCTGATCAGAGCAGCAGCTCCTGCTAGGGGGGATCAGAGGAACATGGCAACCCGTTGCTCTTTCATTTAGCAGAGAGAAGCACACAGCGCACATGAAAACACACACACACACACATCAACACACACACACACACACATCAACACACACACACACATGGACACACTCCCCACTCTTGGTGGAATACCAGCGGCGTGTGTGTGCCTATCTGTCCACAGTTTGAAGGGTGCCCAAGCCCACGCACACACATCAACACACACACACACACACACACATCAACACACACACACACACACACATCAACACACACACACACACACACACACATCAACACACACACACACACACACACACACACACACACACACATCAACACACACACACACACACATCAACACACACACACACATTATGAAATAAAATCCTAAAACTTGATTCTGTTTTCTGCGAGGAATCAAGTTATAATCTCAACGAACTTCAGTGAAAGTAAAAAAGTTTTTGGTAAAATGTTTACAGATCAAATAATTATTTAACGTTTAAAGATTACATAATCAGATTGATCTAAATATATGCTAGAGGATGCTAGGGGATGCTAGGGGATGCTAGAGGATGCTAGGGGATGCTAGGGGATGCTAGAGGATGCTAGAGGATGCTAGAGGATGCTAGCGGATGCTAGGGCATGCTAGCGGATGCTAGGGGATGCTAGAGGATGCTAGCGGATGCTAGGGTATGCTAGAGGATGCTAGCGGATGCTAGGGGATGCTAGAGGATGCTAGCGGATGCTAGGGGATGCTAGAGGATGATAGCAGATGCTAGGGGATGCTAGGGGATGCTAGCGGATGCTAGGGGATGCTAGGGGATGCTAGATGATGCTAGGGGATGCTAGAGGATGCTAGGGGATGCTAGGGGATGCTAGAGGATGCTAGAGGATGCTAGCGGATGCTAGGGGATGCTAGAGGATGCTAGGGGATGCTAGCGGATGCTAGGGGATGCTAGAGGATGCTAGATGATGCTAGGGGATGCTAGAGGATGCTAGGGGATGCTAGGGGATGCTAGAGGATGCTAGAGGATGCTAGCAGATGCTAGGGGATGCTAGAGGATGCTAGCGGATGCTAGGGGATGCTAGAGGATGCTAGGGGATGCTAGAGGATGCTAGGGGATGCTATAGGATGCTAGAGGATGCTAGGGGTGCTAGAGGATGCTAGAGAATGCTAGGGGATGCTAGAGGATGCTAGCGGATGCTAGCGGATGCTAGGGGATGCTAGAGGATGCTAGATGATGCTAGGGGATGCTAGAGGATGCTAGGGGATGCTAGAGGATGCTAGGGGATGCTAGAGGATGCTAGGGGTGCTAGAGGATGCTAGAGAATGCTAGGGGATGCTAGAGGATGCTAGCGGATGCTAGGGGATGCTAGGGGATGCTAGGGGCATACTAGGGGATGCTAGCAGATATCTCCATTTCCTTCCTGAACAACAGAGAAACATCTCGGCTGGTTTGGACGCATCAGAGTAACTTCAGACTCCTGAGATTAAATTATAGCTGAGATGTTTCTAAATTTAACAAACTAGGAAACTATAAATAACTGAAGATTCTTAGTTTCAGCTAAAACTGAAGCGAGTTTGTAATCCTCAGCCCAGCTCTTCTCTGCATGTTTTCTCTGCTCTGATTGGTTCAAACTCTCCATGTTTCTTTGGTTTTTCTTTTTGTTCATTGAAACCATTAAATAGCTGAATGTCGCCATGGAGACTCGTTAAGAAGAAGTTTTATTTGATCCTCCTGTCATCCTTCACCTCTGACTCATCCACTGCTGGCACAGCCAGTTCAGAAACCAGAATCATCTCCCAGTTTGGAGCAGGACTGTCTGCTGCTTGCTGCAGCAGCAGCAGCAGCAGCACCAGCTGCAGCAAGCAGCAGCACCAGCTGCAGCAGCAGCAGCACCAGCTGCAGCAAGCAGCAGCAGCAGTGTCTCCATGAACGAGCGTTAGATGCTAGGAGGGAAACTTTAAGCCACCATGCTGAATGATACTTTGCGTGGGCCAATAACAGCCACCATGCAGAGATGCATGCTGGGAAATAGGTGGGCTGTGTCTGACCTTCGGGTCGCTGTCGGAGGTTTTACCCACTGCGCTGTGAGGCTGATAAACGGAAAACCAAACTGGATAGTTTTACTCTTTCCTTCAGATTACAGCTTTATCATTCAGAAGAAGAAGGTTTTTATTTTGAAGCTTTATTTTTTAAGGAGAGGTTTTGGTTTTGGTAAATGCTGACATGGCAGCATCATGCTGTGGGAGCAGATGATTGGATCTCTAAATTTACCCACGCTGCAGCCATCTTGAATTTGGTTCTAGAATCCAGACTTAAATTTCCCTTCTCATTATCATTAAATCTTTGCTCAGATGAGTTTTGATGTTTGGACTCCAAAATAAAATCTTCGCATCTTCAGCTCAATGTTTGGGGTCAAACATTATCTTGTAATTTTCCAGATTTTCTCCACATTGATTAAAAAAATAAATAAAAATAAACTTCAGTTGCATCTGAAGAAAAGTAACCACATAAAATCATGCTGCCACTGCCGTGTTTTACTGTAGGAATGTTTTAGTTCAGTATTGTTTTCAACGGGGATCTAAACTTCAAAATGGACTTTTGTCATTTTTTCTATTTCCATCTGGATTTCCTGCTTCTAGAAACAACACAAATATGTTTCTCTGGCAATAAGTTGATGATATTTGGTAGAAAAAGAGTCTTTTCAAAATCCTCCAAATAATCCAGTCATAATGCTCTGTTACCTAGCAACCAGTGCAACGCTCCAGTATGTTTGGTCAGCTGGTTTTTCTGCTGTGTGCGCTGTACAATGGCTGCTGGAAAACACAAGACTTTTGTTGATGAATGATCATCCAGAAACCACTTGCTGAATTCTTGTTGTTTGTGCAGGAGGCTCCACTTCTGCTTTTTAAAGACATGCGGTTGTATAATTAAGTATCTATTGGGATTCTTAATCAAGTGGGCCCAATCAGGGCCACTGTCCAGAAACAGTCAGTAAATGAGTTTTTAGGAAAAATAAATAAATAAAAGTTTCAAAAGTACATTTTTTTAACTTTAGAAACTCAAATTTCCAAAGTTTTCTATAAAATTTCTGAGATTAATTGAATAATTTCTGCACTTTTTTTTCTGCTCCTTTTTAAAATTTTTCGTGGCGCTGACGCTCCGTCAGTTTGCAGACATTTTGAGTTGAGTTGGGGGCGTGGCTTGATTTAAAGTGACAGACGCCTGAAAACATTCTGACTGAAATCTCATTATGATTTTGTTGGGTTCTGTGTGATTCCAGTCCAAACCCAGCAGGTCTGAGCTGAAACCCAGAGAATCATAAATAAACTGAAGGATTATGAATGTAGCAGCAGGAAGACGGTTTGATGATGGATGCGTTCATAAAAACACCGGGTTGTTTTTGTCGAGTCCCTGAAAGCAACATCCTAATTATGTCTCCTGTGGATGAATTAATAAAAACCTAATATCCAGGAAAAAATGATCCTGTTGACATATTTGCACATAGATTCAATTAAAAGCAATAATCAGACTAAAATTGGTTTGAGAGCAACGCTCAACACAACGTGCCTTTGTCTATTTATTATGCCTGGCAGACATGTTTTTATTATATGAAAATGAGATGCTCTCACAAAGTCAGAGCAATATCTGTTAAAAGGCTCCGACCTGATCAGACCTCATGTCTGCAGAGTTTACCCTGCACAAACAAACCGAGAAAATGCAGAACAACTGAAGTGGAAGCAGATTTAAAAACAAAAACTTAAAAAGGTAAAGAGAGAGCGAGAGGAGGGATTGTTGTGTTGAATGAGACGGAGCCAAGAACCGATAGAGGAAACCACACAAACCCTGACTAAAGTCCAAAAGCAACCTGTTCCCCTCCTGGCCTGTGGGGGCGCTGCACCAAGAACCTCTGAAGACGCTTTGATGTTCTTTGATTTCTCAAATAATACATATTTGGACTTTAATTACAAAACAATGCACACAAATGTGTTTTATTTTGCTGTTTATCATGTAAATATAAATATAATTATTTTACATTCTGTAAAAACATAAAATCTTTACTTATGGTCTGTTTTTGGTTTAAACAAAATCATCAAAAAAGAAAAACAATAAAAACAGCTAAAGGTCAGAAGTTTGATGATATATCGTATTAATATCAATATCGGTGATAATGGCCCATCATTTATCGGATCAATATGAAATCCTGCAGCATCACAGATTAATGAAAACCTTCTTAATCCAGGATCAGGTGAGCAGACAGGTGTGCAACATGCTTCAGAGATCTTCTATTAATGAAGACATCTCACTCCCACACACCAAGAGCATTACTAAATCTGTCATTAAAAAATGCTAGTTAAGCAACAAAATGTTTTTTTCATTACAGAAAACCTTGATTTTTACAAAATGAAGAACTGAAGCTGCTTCTTTCTCTGCTGGATGAAACCCAGCAGCTGCTCAGGGTTCAGGATGGAAAATGATCATTTATGCTAAGAAATAATCAGAAATTAATTTCACTGAATTTGCTCCATTCATTTCCTTCAAAGGCGAGAGAATTTATTCAAGGAACGATAATAATTCTTTTTCTTGAATCATGGTGATTTATTCCTGCAAGGACGACATGAAGGTACCTGCTGCAGAGGGAAGAAAACATCTGAGGCTCCAAAGAGAGGAAATAATGAGAAAGAAACAGATTAGGAAAGAGAAGTTTGATGGATTATTTGGATTTTACACGAACAGAACCATGTCTCTGATTTAATGTGTGAAGCTCAAATATTTTAAAACAAAATATTTTCCAGTAAAAGATGCAAAGAGCAACAGGAGGGCAGAGAAAACAGTGGAGACGTTTAAAGCTGCTCATAAAAAGGAAACTACGAGGGTGGCAGAATAATGCTGTGGGCCTGCATTTCTGCAGGTAAATTGGTAGAAATGTAATAATCCTGGAAAAAATTTTAACCTGGAAGCTGAAACTCATTAAAGTCAAGACCGAAATTAATCTGAGAATGTGACTGAAATATTTACCTTCAGATTTTTTGGACTGAACTTCAGCTACTGCAGGCAAAGACTGAAAAGACACATTATCAAGACACAAATTCCTACCACACTTTTCAGATTTCTATCAGTGAAAACGTTGTAGACCATTTATCATCAACCTTTCCCATCCCTGTTGTTCTGTCTGTAAAACAGCTGATCAGCTCGTCAGTTCTGAGAGTTTGACTCCCAAACATGAAGCAGTTTCATTTTAAGAGCCGATTGGAGCCAAAGAACCAAAGAATCAAAGAACCAAAGAATCGAAGAACCAAAGAATCAAAGAACCAAAGAATCAAGAATCAAGAATCAAGAATCAAAGAACCAAAGAATCAAAGAACCAAAGAATCAAAGAACCAAAGAACCAAAGAATCGAAGAACCAAAGAATCAAAGAACCAAAGAATCAAGAATCAAGAATCAAAGAACCAAAGAATCAAAGAACCAAAGAATCAAAGAACCAAAGAATCAAAGAACCAAAGAATCAAGAATCAAAGAACCAAAGAACCAAAGAATCAAAGAACCAAAGAATCAAAGAACCAAAGAACCAAAGAACCAAAGAATCAAAGAACCAAAGAATCAAAGAACCAAAGAACCAAAGAATCAAAGAACCAAAGAATCAAAGAACCAAAGAATCAAGAATTGAAGAACCGAAGAACCGAAGAATCAAAGAACCAAAGAATCAAGAATCAAAGAACCAAAGAACCAAAGAACCAAAGAATCAAAGAACCAAAGAATCAAAGAACCAAAGAATCAAGAATCGAAGAATCGAAGAACCAAAGAATCAAAGAACCAAAGAACCGAAGAATCAAAGAACCAAAGAATCAAAGAACCAAAGAATCAAGAATCGAA